AAAGAGAAACAGAAGCTTGAACCTCACCTTGGTGTCTGTGTCGTCTTTCCTGGACTCTGCTGGACAGAGTCCCGGCTCGCGACAATAGGGCCCAAGTGCCAGCCATAAAGTGATAAGATAAAAAGGCCCATTTAAGCTCCATTTGTACTTCTGTTTGAGGCCCAGAAAAATCTCAAAGTCTTTGTGGCTAATTCTGGGACCTCATGCATGAGAATGAATAAACCAAACTTTCCAGCTCTCTCCTGGATGAATACTTGATCTCTTAGCTGTTCAAAGTTTTTTTCATAACAGAAAACTTCCAAACAGCCCCAGACACCAACCACTTCTCACCAACTCAAATGCCACCCTGATCCCAGCTACCATCATGTTTCCTCTATTACTGCAAAGGCAAGTTTTTTCTTATCACAAAGTTCTTTCCTGGGATACTGAATTCTCAGTTAAGAATTCTGCTCAAACGCCACAGCCCATTTCAGAGCATAAACCAGCTTCTACAATGGCCTACAGGGCCTGTACTACCCAATGCTCACTACCTTTCTGACCCAACCTCAGCTGCACTGTCCCTCACTGTTCCTCATACTGACCTCTCAGAATGAGCTGCCCTTAGACTTTTGCTCAAGCTGTAAAGATTCCCATAGATATGCTGAGCTACATAGCAAGTTCCAGGCCAGCTGGGGCTATAGGGAATCCTGTCTCAAAAAGGACCAGAAAATAAAGATTCCCCCAAATAACATTTAGCTGACTCACATGGTGCTGGCCTATGTTCAAGTCTCTCAATAACCAGACTGCATTTGCAATCTGCACATTTCAACCATAACTCCCTCCTGACTCAGCTATTTTATCCCACATTAACTTAACAACATACCATGTAAAATTTGCTTAGTCACACACCACTTACTGCCACTACGTCCCTGGTAGAATGTCAGTCATCCCCCCTTATTCTAAGTACCTGAGATAACAAACTTGTCTTAGAGATCTGGAGGCTTCAGTCCAACACTGAGGACTTTCTTTGACAAGGTCAGAACGCTGCCCTAAGACAGGAGTCTACAGCAGAACAATGAACCAGGAAGCAAAACTAGAGAGAGGAGGGTGGGTCCCACAGTGCCCCTTGAAGCGACCCCAATGACAGAGGGACCTTCCACTAGGTCCCATCCACCTCCTAATGGTTCCAGTACTTACCAAGAAGACCAAGGGGATGGAAAGTGACAGGGAGGGCACAGACCCAAGCCTTTAAGGCTATTGTTCAGCAATATACATCTAACAACCAAGTAGTCACTAGCAGAGTAGGCATCAATAATTAAGTGAATAAAAACAGCACATATATCCTCCACAAGGATTATGTTAACAATTCTGCACACATCAATATCATTTCTGGCCTTTGCATTATAGTTCCAAACCCCCAAACCTTAAGCCTCGATATCTACTCACATAGAAACATAAGCACAAGGATAGGGGTTTTAGGTCAGTAGTAGAGGGTTTGCCTAGCAAGCACAAGGCCCTGGGTTTAGTTCTGAGCTTGGGGGAGGAGGGGTTTGTACACATACATATATAATAGTTATCTATACCAAACAGAGACTCAGAACTTAGGGCACTGTATAACATAATTTATGTGCAACTCACCTAAATATCAGAAAACACCCAAGATGAGGGAGACTGCTCCAGCTTAACAGAGCACATGACATCTAGCTATGATACATGACCACTGATTTAACATGGTTAGCACGCTCAAAGTTTTCAAAAATAAAAGAGCAGAAAGACCCCAAGACTGCCCCCCCCCAAAAAACATGCCCAAACGGTTGTTTCTATAAGCAGAACAAGATAGCCAATTACTCTATGACTTAAAAATTGGTTTTCTTAGCAGGCCTAATTTAACTCTAGATTTTTCTAAAGTGAAAAGATGTATTTCCATATATTGCTGTCATTTCCTCGCAATTCCCAATTAGTGTATAAAGCCTATTCTTTCTTATCACTAGAACTTGGGATAGGTAGTTGCAACCCAACCTAGTGAGACTGCCTGCCTCAAGAAACAACCATATAACTGACACTGCTTTAAAGCCACGTTCTTCCCGTTGTGAACTCTAGATTATATACTAAGCCTCGAAAGCACTGACCTGTGAATACTATTTCAAAACCACTTTTAAAACCTTCATACCATGAGCCCAAGTATGTAGCTGTATTTCTCTACATATATGACGAGACACGCACTGGGTAAAGATGAGTATTTATTCACTTTACAAAGAGAATGGTATTAAATTGCCATAAACAGCTCCATTTATAGACAATTAACAACTGTACATCGCACCAGCAGCTAGCTCAAACTGCTTCCCCAAGATGTTCCCCTGGTTCCAGCTCTATCAGGTGAGCACAGAACCCTGCTCTGCCTCTGATGTTAAGTCCCTCAGAGATAATGGTTTTGTTCTACACATTCATAGGTGGGAAAAGAAATGCACCTGCCCAGCCCTTCTGTACAGGTGAGCTTCCATCTATGTCCTATAGTGAACACTAAGCAAGTACTAGCTCATTCTTTAAAAACAGACAAATTACTAGTAATTTGAAAAAGCTTGTGTAGTGCACCAAAATACTTTATACATACATAAAAAATCTTGAGTAAGATTTATTATTTTAAAGATAAACAGATACCCTAGCACTGCCAAGAGTGGGTAATGAAAAGGAAGGAAAGCATTAAATTACTGAATTATAAAAATAGTTTCTTTGGAAAAAAATTCCAATAAGGTTATCATTAATATCTAAAACCAAAGAGAAAAAATAAACCAATGTTCTTTGATCCATTAGTAATTTAAATAAAAATGGAAACCTCTTCAAAAGCAGCTGTGACTGGAGTTTTTAAAAAGTTATAGGTTGAGCTCTCCTAAGCTATACACTGATGATTCTTTACAGGCAATGTGCAGACAAGAAAAATCCTTAATATGGCTAAATCTTTGTTTAATTACCATTATTTTTTGTTTAAAAAAATATTTCACAAGACAGTTTAAAAAATAAGTGGTTATTTTGGGGAAGTGCTCCAAATACTCAGTCTGACTCAAGTCAGATAACCACAGTTCATAGACAAAGTAGGGATACTGGGGATTGTTTTTTTCTTTGAATCAACCATTTTTACTCTAGCTTTTAGTTATTTCTTCATATTTTATGAAACTGTATCAAATTAGGTGTGCCAGATTAAAAACTACTCACTAGTGTCAAGTGGCATCTGGACTAGATGAAATACCAACCTGAGGTGAGAGCGGGCTCCTTCACAAGCAGCCAGTTCCTGAAGCCCACGAGCATGTCTTCACCTAAGTCAGGTTCTGATACAACCAGTCACACTAGAGCATCATACAAAAATAGACCAGATATTGGACACTCATGTCAATACATTACAGAAAATGTGTCTATTTACTGTGTAAAGTTTATTAACATCTGAATGAAACACTCTTATTTACACAGTTAAAGTCTGGGGCACTCAGGGCAGGAAGGTGTGGGAATTGCCGCTGTGAACTTGGAAGCGGAGGCTTCTGGTCTCCTGGCACAGGACAGCCCTCCCTGGGAGGACTCGGCAGCATTGGGCAAGGTGAGCCAGAGTTCACAGTTTGGCTGGTTTCTGTCTTCATTCCTCTTCACTCTCATTTTCAGGTTCTAAGTCAGAATCTCCGTTTAATTCCTTTTCACTTGACACATCTCTGTCCTCTCCATTTTCTTCTTTGTCTTCAGCATCCTCATCTTCCTCCTCATTGTGTTCATCAACCCCCTCATCTTTTTCACTGTCTTTCTCCTCTTCATCTTCATCCCAATTATCCTGGTTAGAAATATCAAAGGAAAGCATTTGTGAAGAGCTCATTCTTACAGAGTGAAGATAAAAGGCAGATTATACCAGGAAACACCACTCACATCAGAGTCCTTCTCTGCAATCTCATCATCAGATTCTTCTTCAGAAGATTCTGTAGGAGGAAAATATAAAGCCTTAATTCTCTAAACAGCAGGGCACACAGGACTGAAAACTCAGCAGGAACAAAAACAGAATCCTCAACTGATTCTAAAAAAAATACTTATATTCAGCTATCAATCATCTTAGATGAATCATTCAATTAATATTATTTGTTGTTTTTATGATTTGGGTCAGGGTCTTGCTATGTAGGACAAGTTGACCTGGAACTTGCAGTTATACCTCAATCTTCCAAGTACTGAGATTACAAGTACATTACTACCACACCTAGTTTCTAAATGTAATATTCTTATCTGCATGAAAACATTAGATTATTCCTTCAAGATAAGTACCAAAGCCCCACTAAAATCTCATCTTAAAATATTCAGCCATTTTTGGACCACCAAATAGACCCAGTGGGTGTAAACAAATTCAATATAAAAAGGCTGGTCCATAAATATATTTGAAAAGAAAGTAGATGTATCGTTTTTAACCGATAGTGAAAATAACAGTTATGGAAATTAACAATGTAAAATTTGTGGTTTTGAGAAACAAAACACTAAATATGCAAAAAAAAAAAAAAAAAAGCTAGTTTATTTTCTAAGCACTACAGAAATAAACAGAGGAAAAGGCTGCCATGTCACTCTGTAAGAACTAGTACAATGTGGCTCCCAATGCGGCAATATGAGAGCACATCTGCACTGACGGACCCCACAAAAGTACTGGACTTGAAACCTCACTCAGCCTCACACTTTACATCCAGTGCAAAGGAATGACAGCATTTAAAGAAGCAAATTAAATGCTTCCCAAAAGGAAACAAACCTGCAATCACACAGAAGGGCATTCTATGGAATCAAGTGTCATCTTTCCAGCAAGCCTCCACCATCAGGAATTCTAAAGGGCTTTTAGAAGAGATTTCTGAGCTCTATCAACCAGATTTAGTGCCAGAGTCAAGCTTGAAGCCTTGTCTGAATAAGCTACAACAGTTTACAGATAGTTAAGATTAAAAAGAAAAGGTAAGCTGACACAGGATAAAAGTAAAATGATTAGGTGTGCCACTGCTACCCAATGAAATCTAACAGTACTCCCAGCCTGTAAATGATTGGAACTCTTTCCATCTTTACTTTTTCTGAAGAAAATGAACCATGTATGAATGAAGGACACTGTATGTCCACATATCTAAGCCCATTCCCCCAAAGAAATACTATCCGACATAGTTTTAGCATGTTTGCTTATCATATCCATGAATTATAGATATGCACAGTTGTGAAAAACCTTTTGCATTTCAGATTCTACAGCATCTGGATTTTCTGTTTTCAATTTAGGAATACCTAACAGATAAAGTCTATACAAACACCCCAAAATCCCAAACACTTCTGGGCCCAAGCATTTTGAATGAGTATATATTCGGTCTGTATTCTTTTGTGGACTTTAAAACTGTTTGATCCCACAAATATGTATGAGTACATGATACTATATAGACATGATCCTGTTTTATAACTTGTTCTATACCCAAGTGTATGTACATTGTAACTTAAAAGTCTGTACTTCATGGTTCTCACTACTATACTATGCTGTATTGAAAATAAACTATTCTCTACTAATGAAAAGTTAAGTCTACTTATGAGATTGCTAAAATATTTTATAAGACTGTGATATACAAATTTCTGTAACTTTCCTTGCGTGTGTGTTTTAACACCATTATTCTCCAGCTTTTTGGTCTTAACATCATTTTATTTTTTTAAGATTTTTATTTTTTTTTTTTTTTTTCGGTCTTTCTGAGACAGGGTCTCCCTGTAGCCCCAGCTGTCCTGGAACTCACTATGTAGACCAGGCTGGCCTCGAACTCACAAAGATCCACCTACCTCTGCCTCCCAGGTGCTGGGATTAAAGGCGTGCAATACCACGCCCAGCCCTATTTAAGATTTTTAAAAAATTTTATGTATGTGTATGAGTCTATGTGTTGGTATATGCATATGAGGTGTCTGAGGAGACCAGATGTCAGATCCTCCCCCGCCACCGCCCCCAAAGCTGGAGTTACAGGCAGTTGTCAACTGTGCAACATGGGTGCTGGGAAACAAAACTCCAATCCTTTACATTAGCAGCACATCTATCACTGCTGAACCATCTATTATTAAAACTGGAGGCCCCAAAAGCTTTTATTTATATGTCTATAGATATTTATCTCATTAAAAATTAAATTCAATTTTTAAATTTGCAAATATTTAATGCAATTACAAAAAATGTCAACCTGTTACATATTTTAGTAAAAATATTCCTAAAGCAGCAAAGAACTTACTTAGTAGCACTGATTTATTTTTTTACAAACACCTCATATCTGCTTCTTCAATTTTGGGGGGAATACTATTTTATTTGAACATACTAGATGAAGAAAATCTAGGCTCAAGCAACAGAATGGCTAGAATTTAAAATTTAATCACAGAATGTTTTAATTTGTACTTCTTTAAAGTAGTTAATTTTTACATTCATTAGCCATTTGTTGCCTTCCCCAGAAGTCATCTATCTATACATCCATGCTCATTTTAAGGTGTGAAGAGTAAACAGTGATGCAACACAGGCACGGTCCTCTGCACCTTATGAATTATCAATTCTTCCAGCAACTAACTGCACAGGTGGTCTTCTCCATTGATACTAAGAACACTATCCACACAGCTGCACCAAGTTCTACAGATCGTTCAGGACTAAGTCTTGATGCCTGACAGAGCAAGTTTCCCCAACTTGTTTACCTAAATCACAGTTAACTCTGATCTCTTGGTTTGCTCAAATAAACTATTAGATTAATAAAATAATTGGGAGATTACAGGCAACTTCACAATACAGGATTTTCCATTTAAAAATTATTGAATGACCTCTAAACTTATTCAGGCTCAGGTTTACAATGTTCTCTAAAACATTCCATTTCATTTTTTAGATATAAACTCAGGTACTCCTAGTTTTGAGTGCTGCAATGGTAATTGTTTTTGAATATAGTCTATTAGTTACTGCTGGTGTGTAACAATGCTGGCTCCTTTTCGCTGATCTTGCTGTCAGTGCTCTGGCTTATCTGCATAGCACCTATTAGTAACAGCTGACTGTAGTCTTTTATTTACTGTGTGCAAAAGGGTAATATATGCCACATTCAAAGTCCTAGAATTCTTTACACAGAAGCAATAAAAAGTACATTACTGTCTCATTCTTGGCTTTAATAGGAATGGTTTTAAAGCCTATTATGTGGGGCTGGAAAGATGGCTCAGCAGTTAAGAGCACTGTCTGCTCTTGCAGAGAACCCTGGTTCAGTGCCCAGCACCTACATGGCAGCTAACACCCATCCATAACTTCAGTTCCAAGGGATCTGACACCCTCTTCTGGCCTCCGTGGGCATTGCATGACATGGGTGCACTTATATACATGGAAGCAAAATACGCATAAAATAAAATATATTTTTAAAAAGTATTATGTGAGAAGACATAGTGGCACACGCCTTTAATCCCGGCACTCAAGAGGCAAAGGCAGGTGGAACTCTATGAGATCAAGGCCAGCCTGGTATACACAGCAGTTCCAGGCCGCTGGGGCTACCAAAAAAAAAAAGTGAGTGTAGAGATATGTAAATTTATACATGTGCATTGAGCAGGTCACAAAACTAGAAAAGAGAATCATGAGAGCAGAGGTAGGGATCTTAGGGAAGTGGGAAACAGACAGTAATGGGTACATGTGATAAAAAGCAGGAGGACTTGTTTGTGGAGAAGGGACAAGGTAAGGCAGTGGGGGAGGGGAACAAATGGAAACAAAGTATAAGGACACATACATATGAGGATGCCATGAACGGAGCCCATTGTTCTGCATATGAACCTAAAATACTAATTTAAAAAAGACCTCACGGCTATTTTACAAAGGTAACAGAACCAAATCACTGTGAAACACTGTATCTAGCCTCTACCCTTCTAAAACCCTTACCTTCTTCATACACCAACTTTGCCTTCTGTCCAGGGGGAGGCATTTTTTTCGTTTTCTCTGATGCTGTAACCTGAAAGACATTAAAATTATGAAACAATTGTAAGTCTACCCCAAGTACCACAACCACCACCACACGCAACTCCTTGGCCATCTGCCCACTCACCCTCCCCTACTGGAATGAATGGTCTGAACACAATTTGGGAAAAGCAAAGAGCAGGGAAAATTACTCTGTAAGAGTTCAAAAAACATCTGAAGTGATTATCTTTCTGTGCCAAAATTTTAAGCACAGAGCACCCTGTAACCTGCCGTTCACAATCATATGCCAAGCTACCCTGTAACCTGCCGTTCACAATCACATGCCAAGCTATATGAACTCAAATATAATGATGGGGAAGCTGGGGTGTAGCTCAGTTGCTAGTGTGCTTGCCAACATGTATGAGACCGTGGGTACAATATCCAGCACAACAAAGAACTGGGCACCACGAAGCATGCATGTAAATTCCAGCACTCAAGCGACAAGAGATCAGGAGTTCAAGGTTAGCCTTAGCTACATAGTAAGTTCAAGGCCAGCCTGGGTTTGCCTAAGACCCTGTATCAAGTAGAGGGTGTGGGGGAAGTGTCTGTAGACACATGAAATAGGTACAATTAAGTTTTCCCACTATCAAACAGGTAACCCTTTCAGACTAAAGTCTGGATTCTGGTTTACCAATTTCTTAGGGAAATAGTCTTATATTAATATTCCACTAAACAATCCTCATTCTTTTCTCTGTTTCTGTCACACCCAAGTTTTAGCTGGAAACAATTTTATTTGCTCACTTGTGTGATTAGAAGAATTAGTTTTCCATGAAGGTGTGAGAGTTTCTGGAAAGTTTTGACTCTGCTTTCCATTAGCTGGTAGAGTGTCCCCAGCTGGTGTACCAGGTCAGGCAACTAGACAAAAAAGAGAGAGAATACCTATGATTACCACATCCTAGAGAGGACAAGCATACAGCTCACACTTGGCTAGGACACTAGTTAGGCCACTCTCACAAGCACTTTCTAGTAATAGTGGAGGCCAGGGACACAGCCCCAGCCAGGTACATCATAAACTTTCACAGAAGACCCCTGGATAGCCTGGTAGGGAAAAATAAAAAATAAAAAGGTTAGGAGGGAGAAATTTGTCAGGTAGGACAAACTGCAGGGTAGAACTCTTTTATACTGATAAAATTATTTCAGATAGGGTCAATATAAAGTAAGTAATAAAAATACTCCCATGATACATCTCTGGGCCAAAGGGAACTTTCCTCTGAATCTTACCCAACAATGATAGCCTATTATCCACCACATAAGGCTAAGAACAAACAGGAGCAGCTCACAGAGACAGAGCAACAGAGGACAAAGCTGACCTCACACATAGCATTATGGAGATCCTGCTGTTAATTAATCCTATGAATCATAGTGAAGAAATTCAAACAGAAAGTCTTTTATTTGTCCATGTAGAGGTAAAGGGATCTTACACTTTGCCCTTTAAAATAGCCTTGACTTGTCTTATTTCTGACATTTGAATCTAAAATAGAGAAGGCAATTAAAGACATCTGCTAAGGAAAGAAGAAATACAGGAATGGAGGAAAAGTAGCTTTCTCAACCATTGCTGAGTGCTGTGTGACCCTCTCTATTCCACACATTATTCTACACTACCATGACCATGCATGTTACAAGATGGCTACCGAGGTATTTATACCATATAAATTGATTCCAGAAGAGATTTCACCACAAGCTTCCTGGGGCCTCTTCTTGCTTCTAAGCAAGTAATGAATATTTAATGTCACTGGGTTTTCTGGCCAGAGTTCTAAGACCAGATGTTTACTTAGATGGCCCCATGCCATCCACCATAGTGCTCAGCCACTTGAGTCACCACTGCCCTAATCCACTTCCCAAGACCCCATAAGTCTCAGAGTCACTCTCCTGTTGCTTACCTGCCCCTCAACCCCTGCCCCAAAGCATTTTGGTAATGTTCACCCCAGATAAACAAGGAACTATAAAAGAACAAAGGAAAGAAACCAGGTAGGAGCTGATGAAATGGTATTAAGAAAGGAAGAACTGGGCTGGGGGAGACAGCTCAGGGTTTAAAGTCATGCAAGCAAGAGAACCAGAGTTCAGATCCTCAGAACTGCCTTAAGTCCAGCCTCAGAAGACAGAGATGGAATCCCTGAAGCAAGCCAGCTAGCAGACTAACTGAACCAGCAAACACTGCATTTTACTGAGATCCTCCCTCAAAGAATAAGGGAGAAGGGCAATGGAGGACTCAGCATCAACCATAGACTGACACACAGGAGTGAGAGGAGTAAAAGGAAAACCTGTAGTTCAAAGAACAATTAAAGATTTTTTTAATTTTATTTATTATTTTTATTTTATGTGTATGTGTGTATTGCCTGTATGTAGGTAAATGCGACTGTGTCGTGCAATGCCCAAAGAGGACAGAAGAGACTGTTGGATCCCCGGAAACTGGAGTTACAAAGACAGCTGTTAGCGGCCATGTGGGTGCTGGGATTCGAACCTGGGTCTTCTGTAAGAACAGTCAGTGTTCTTTTAACCCCTGAGCCATCTCTCCAGCGACTTAAAGATTTTTTTTAACAATCATCCCAGAAGCTGGGCAAAGTGGCACACTCCTTTAGTCCTAGAATTCGGGAGGTAGAGACAGGTGGATCTCTGTAAGTTCAAGGCCAAGCTGGTCTATGTACATAGCAAGTTCCAGGCCAGCTGGAGCTACAGGGAGACCCTGTCTCAAGAAAGATCAAAATAAATAAATAAATGCAATCATCCTAGAAACATTTCTGGAAAACTATGTATCAAAAAAAAAAAAAAAAAAAGCCAGGCGTGGTGGCGCACACCCTTAATCCCAGCACTTGGGAGGCAGAGGCAGGTGGATCTCTGTGAGTTCGAGGCCAGCCTGGTGTACATAGTGAGCTCCAGCACAGCTGGGGCTACAGGGAGACTCTGTCTCAAAAAGACCAAAAAGAAAAAAAAGAAAGCTAGTTAAACTTAATACATTGTATGAAATTTTCAAAGAATGAATAAAAATAGTAAAAGAAAGTAACTGGGGCTGTAGAGATGGCTCAGCGGTTAAGAGCAATGACTGCTCTTGCAGAGGACCCGGGTTCGATTCCCAGCACCCACATGGCGGCTATGAACTGTCCTTAACTCCAGTTCCAGGGGACTCTGAAGCCCTCTTCTGACCTCTGAGGCACGGTACAACACAGATGCACTCACATACATGCAGGCAATACACTCATACGTATAAAAGTAATAAAATATTTTTTAAAAAAGAAAATAACATTCAGATGTTTTAATTTCAGCACTGAAGAAACTGAAGCAAAAGGACTAGCCAGAGTTCAAGGCCAGCCTAGGCCAAATACAGAGCTCCAGGCTAGCCCAGGCTTCAGAGTGAAAGTCTCAAAAAACCCTCACTATGGACTGGTGAGATGGTACAGAAGGTAAAGGTGCTTGCTACTACATCTGAAGATGGAGTTCAACAGCCCCATACAAATAAACAAGTGTAATTAAAAATATAAATATATATATACAGACACTACACACACCATACCACCCCACCCCACACTCCCCACCACACTCCCCGCCTCCGACCCCCCCCCCACACACACACAGGGCAAAGAATTAACATTGTAACATAAGAAAACTGACTTTACTAACATTAAGATTTTGTGTTTTCTCCTATTTGCATAGCATAGATATTATAATTCACATCCGAATAGAACAGCTGACAGCAATGTAGGCAAATGTTGGGTACTATTGAATTTACGCCATTTTTAACACAACTCCTTTTCATTCTCATAGGAAAGGGTAAGTAAGCCAGACATGTTATTGGCCTCTGGTAAGGCTTTAAAGGGAGATAAAGATTTATACAACAACAAAAAAACAATGCTGCTAAGGTTATGTGCAAAAAATAACATCTAAAGTCTAATGCCAACATAGAGCACCCTCAACAGAACGTATATTGCTTTTAAAATCCAGTGGGAAGACACTGGAGATGGCTCAGCAGTTACCAGTACTCTTATAAGACCCAGCTTCAGCTCCCAGCACCCACATGGCAGCTAACAACTGTCCTTAACTCCAGTCCCAGGGGATCCAATGCCCTCTTCTGGCCTATGTGGGCATTGCACACACAGGTACACTTACATACATGCAGGCATAAAAATAAAAAGAGACCAAGTGTGGTGACACATGCTTTTTAGTCCCAGCACTCGGGAAGCAAAGGAAGGAAGATCTGTGTAAAATCAAAGGCCAACCTGGACAACACAGTAAACTCCAAGCTAGGTGGAGTTACAAGGAGACCCTTCCTCAAAACAATACCCAAAAGACTCATCCTACTGCGGAGATAGTTGTATATACATGTTTGTTGCTGTTCTTTTCACAATAGCTAAGAAATGGAAACAACCCAAATGTCCCTATGGAGTTCTACTCAACAGTAAAGATGAAATAATGAAATCTATAGGTAAATAAATTTAACTAGAAATTTACTAGTGAAGTAACAACAGACTCGGAAAAACAGAAGATGTATCCCTCATTTGTGGATCTTAGCACCAAATATTATATTCCTTATATGTGAGTATATATCCTGATGTAACTGCAGGAGCCAGGAAAATGGAAAGAAACCATGGAGGTAAAGGGAAAGAAGGAGCCTGAGAGAGAAGAATAGTAGGGACAGATGTTACCAAGGGGGAAATGGGAAAAATGGGGTTATTTAACTGGGAAGAGGGAGGGTTATAAAGGAACCATGGGGGGGAAAGGAGCTCAAGAGAGGGAGGATCACAGGAGACAGGTATTACATCAAGGGGAAATGGGGAAAATGGGATATGTTAACTGGGGTATGTTAACCCTCCTCAGAAAGGGTTAGACAAGGGGGGTAGTAATGTTTAGGTGGTATGAAATACCAGAGGGAAATGTATTGGTTCAAAAGTCTTCTGAAAAATACATATATAATACCTGTACATGAGCGCATAGTGTTATACTAAAGCTATATAACAAGAAACACAGGGCCAGACAGGAGAAACCTCCCTAAATTACACAGGCTATTTCCACATCCCTTGATTATCTCCCAGAACTTGAAGGTAAAGACCCTATTGCTGAAGACAGGACATATTTCAGATACAGGACTTGGGAACACTGAAGCTGGAACTGACCTGGAAATGTCCTCCCTGAAAACTAGCTCTCACAGTTTTGGAGGACACTATGTAAGCTGCTAAGGGAGAAAAAAAAATCAATGGTCCAATGGTCCAACCTCAGCTTTAAAGTGTAATAACCACAATGACCACCACACCAAACTATATTGGTACAATAGTGGTACTTTTCTTTTGGGGGTGTCTAATTAGATTTAAAACCTGTTCAATGGGCAGGAACCCATGTGTGACACTGTAAATAGAGCCAAACAAAAAAGTCTGGAGAGGTCAGAGATCTTAGAAAAAACCTTAAGTCTGTCACATCCCCAGACAAATGTTATTTCTTTCTTACTATATGCTAAATATGAACTCTTATATTTACAGATACATACACCAGCCACCACTCATCAAAGTTTCTTTTACAACAGATGGCAACTATTACAGAGTTCCACAACTGGTCACATACAGAGTATGTGTCTGTGAGATGCCCAACCCTAAGTGACACATCTACAATGGAACCTCTACACCTAAGGGTCACAGAACATAGTGGAACAAGGGGTAGAGAGAACACTAATGCACCTCTCAACTCTCATCAGCAAAACTTCCTCATGCGACAGAGGAAGAACACAAAAGACTACAACTGGCCAAAGTTTAAAGAATTGGAGACTGCAGAGTACGGGTCCCTCAACAGGACTCCTGGGGATCCAGGGGAGAAGGTGCATGACTACAAGGAAAGTCTTACAGGCTCCTGGAACATTGCTCATATGAACTTACAGCAATGGTAATACCACACACAAGACCCATGAGCACTCGATCAGACAAAAACCATCATAGAACTGGAGAAATGGGCAAGAGGCCACAACTTTGGTGAGGCAACTGATCATTGCTGGGTGAGGGAGAGTTGATCTTTCTTTAAGGAAGTGATGTGAGAGACTCAACAGGCTCTAGTGGATGAACTCACATCAAAGGATGTTTGGGTACACAAACTTGATTCAACAAACCTTAACATATATGATAAAATGCATGAAGTCCTGTGGGTAGGTTATAGGGAGGGGTGCAAGTAGCGAAGGGGGGCTATATATGTTTAAGATGTATTATATGAAATCCACAAAATTCAATTATAAATATATTTTTAAAAAGACTAAAATTTAGGGGCTGGAGAGATGGCTCAGTGGTTAAGAACACTGGTTGCTCTTGCAGAAGACCCAGGTTGAATCTCAGCACCCACATGGCAGCTAACAACTGTCCGTAACTCCAGTCCCAGGGGATCTGACAGCCTCTTCTGACCTCCAAGGGCATTACACAACACAGGTGTACTTACCTACATGCAGGCAATATACACATACACATAAAATAAAATTTAAAAAAGACTAAAATTTAAATAAATAAAATTTTTAAATAAGAAAAAATTAAATATAAAAATAAAAATCCAGTGGGAAAAAGATCAATTTATTAAAGGTCACAATTAGGGTCATTATGAAAGGGTTTGTACTAATGCTTCTAAGAAGGGGATTTGAAGGGGAGGGGGGGCTGTAAAGAAGTAGCAGGTGGTTAAATCACAGAAGGATAATTTTAGTTTATAAAATCCTTACCAAAGCCAAACCTACCGTGGATAGGTATGACGCGTGAACTGTCAACACACATTTCAGCCACTGAACCATTAAAACAGCACTGGAAAAGAAAAGAAATCCAAGTATATGAAATGTTCCCTAACACACAAAGAAATACAAGTTATAAAATTAGGAAAATCTAGAAGATGGCCACAACAAACCACCCAGCACTGCATTTCCCAGTCCTTCCATTCTATCACTGAGTCCAGCCGAGATTTCTATAAAATACTAATGCTTTGTAGGTTAGACTGGAAACCAAGGGGAAAAAAAATCCCTCCCTCTAAAACAATTCAAGACTAAAGCCCACGTTTTACCTCATAATTAACTGAGAATATGGCAGTAACTGTCAGCCAAAAGAGCACAAATGATGGTTACCTTTGAACCTACTATCTTATTCACTATTAGAAACAAACAGCAAAGTCTCCCACGTGCCATTAAAAGTCCACTATAGACCAAAAGTGAGTAATGTCGCTCTAATGACTTCTTTAGCTTTCCTCTGGTATGAGCTTGCACGACCAAAAAATGCCTTAAGAAAAAGAAAAAAACCACCTGGAGGGCCTGGGGAGATGGCTCAGTACTGCAGCAGTGTACTTGCTTACAGCCCCAGGGGAGGCAGAGAGAGGAGGATCCCTGGGGCTGGCTGGCCAGCTAGTCTAGCCAGATCAGTGAGCTCCAGAATCAGTAAGGGACCCATCCATCTCAGAGTGGAGTGGAGAGAAATAGAAAAAAACACTAAGTCAACTTCTGGCTTCCACACACATATGCACGTGTACACACACACACACACACACACACACACACACACACACGTATACAAAGAAGCTAAGAAAAACAGAAATGAAAAAACATACATTATAAGCCGGGCATGGTGGTACACGCCTTTAATCCCAGCACTGGGGAGGCAGAGGCAGGTGGACCTCTATGAGTTCAAGGCCAGCCTGGTCTACATAGTGAGTTCCAGGACAGCTGGGAGACCCTGTCTCAAAAAAAGACCAAAAAAAACAAACCAAAAAAAAACAACATACATTATAGATATTAACATCACATTATAAAAACTCTCCAGGAGGACTTCCTATTTAAATATTTAATAGGGGCTGGAGAGATGGCTCAGTGGTTAAGAGGACTGGCTGCTCTTACATAGGACCTGGGTTCAGTTCCTAGTATCCACATGGCAGTTAACAATCTGTAATTCTTAGCTCCAGGGGATGTAACGCCATCTTCTCTTCTGAGGGCATTGCGTGACATGGGTGCTCTTACATGTAGGCAATATGCTCATATATACAAAATAAAAATAAGGAAAATATTTTAAAATATTTAACAAAAGAAAAACTGACAAAAATCTAGTCTTTAAGATAAAAAAAAGAGAAAGAAAGCCAATGACCTGATAAAAGCTGAAGTGTTTTTCTTTCTTTGTTTTTTTTCTTTGGTTTTTCAAGACAGGGTTTCCCTGTAACCCTGGCTGGCCTGGAACGCCTTATATACATCAAGCTGACCTTGATCACAAGAGTTCTGCCTGTCTCTGCCTCCAAAGTGCTAGGATTAAAGCCATGCACTACTACACCTAGTTACAAACAAGTTTTTAAAAAAGGAAAAAAATAAAATCATTTAGGAATAGGAATCACTCAAATGGTGGGGGAAGGTAATAATTAATACTTAAAAGAATTTATTGGGATTTGAGCCTGAGGATGGAATCCAAGGCCTCGAGATTACCAGGCAATCATTGAGCAACATCCCCAGTCTGGACAGATGCTCCTGACAATCACCTCTCATCTACTTATCAAAACAAAGCAATGTAGCCTGTAGTGGTAGCACACAACTACAATCCCTGTAGAGCCTGTGGCAGGAAAATGCTGAGTTTCAGGCCAGCATATGCTACATAGTGAGGCACTGTCTCAAACAACAATAACAGCAAAGTAATTTAAGTTACCTAAAAAGCTTACCTATTAGGATGTCCTTGCAACCTCTTCGTAAGCTAAAGGAGAGAAAAACACTATTAACATCAGCATTTCACAGGCAATCTGTCTCCATCAATTCCCTGGATGCAATGATGGCTTTATCAAGTTATTCCACCCAGCAATCTATTTTTACCTAATATAATATAAGTGAACTCATTCTCATCAGAGTACCTGATTAGAAATCTAGGCTGATTTGTATGAAAGTCCTGAATAGGAAAATCCATGGAGACAGAATCCAGACAGGTGATTGCTAGTAACTGGAGATGTGGGAGAGGAGAAGGGAGGCACTCCTAATGGACACAAGATATCTTTTTAGAATGACAACTATATACCCTATAACATATGAAAAACACTGAACTGTGCACTAAAAAGGGTGAATTTTTTTTGGTCTTTTTGAGACAGGGTCTCCCTCTAAACCCAATTGGCCTCCAACTCACTATATAGACCAGGCTGGCCTTGAACTCTCAGAGATCTGCCTGCCTCTGCCTCCTGGGATTAAAGGCATGCACCACCACACCTGGCTAAAAAGGGTGAATTTTAATGGCATATAAATAGTATTTCCATTTAAAAAAATACATAAACATACATGGAAAAAAATACAGGAAACTTCGAATTTGGAGTAGACAATGCTCTGAAACATGAGCAGATTTTTCTAATAAACATTAATGCTTTTTAAAATTCCCCCTACCAATAATGATAAAACACCCTACATTGTTAACAACATCACTCTCACAAAATACATAATCATATTAAACAAATGTGACCCAAGTATAATTTCTAATCACAAGGTATTCATTTTTCTCTTTGGGTCTAATTTTTAATTAGTACCCACTCTTTTAATGTTTCAATGGAATTATGTGTACTTATAAAGGAAATAAAGGTTTTCCATAAGGCAAATAATGGTGCACCAAGTTAACTGAATTCAACATATGCAGAGCCTCAGGTACCGTCCCTAGATCCCAAAATGAATCCAGATCCTGAGTTTCAACTGAGTTATGGTGTCACTCAGAGTTTTCATTGTCCCACCCACCACTCCCACACCCCACTCCATCTATACCTAGTATAGTTAAACAGAATTACTTAAGTAGAGTTGGGACAACCACGTGCAGGAACAGTGAACATTATTTTTATAAGGTCAGAGGCTGGATTACTATTTGAAAATACACCTTCTCCCAGGCAACAGAGAAAATCAAAATGTTCAAATAGTTTTAATGTTATGTTAAACTAGACACAAGACATAAAGGGAAAACCAAAGGAAGAATTTGGGGGCTCCTTGTTGGGGTCTCTATTTCAATCCTCATATAGATCCCGTATACACAGTATTCCATAGTTCACTTTCAAATGCCTTCTAGGTAAAAAGATGGTCCTTCATTGCTAGGAGAAAACAAAAGGTAAAAATGCCCAACATACTTGCTTTTACACCTTTGAAATTCACCAATTTTCCTTTTCTATCTCAAGCACTTTCCTCCTACCCATCTCCCATTTGTTCTCTAAAGGTCCTGCATCCTTACATATTATATGCCCATTTTTCTAGATCCACATTTTATACTTTAAGAGGAAAGAGTAGTAGTTACCTCTTGCAGCAATGGGATAACAGCATGCAAAGGCATTCTTAACACAGTCTTCTTTATTAGGTTTAAATTCCTAGTTTGAAGTACTTTCTACAAGGGAAAAAAAAGAATTAAGCATGCTTACATTTACAAGCTAAGTACATGATATGAAAAACTGTATCTAAAAATTATTCAAAAATAGACCAGGGCAATAAACCACTAGCTGAATCCACTGAATAAACTACTAGACAAATCCAGTTGGAGGGGCTGGATGGAGAATATTATATTGTACTTTGTGAATACCAGGTTAAGAGGTCTTCAAGTATCACACAGAACATCTCTAGACATTTAAATAACAATTATGTATCATTTTAAAGATGGTCTCCAACTTTCATTATACTAAATGTGAGTTGTCTCCACAAGAGTAAGCTAAATGAGGTTTCTGATTCAAAGAAACCTCTTTAAATTGTTATTTTGATAAAATTTTAAACCAAGCAAAACATCACATAATAAATACTTCAACCAGGCCAGATCTCTAGGAGACCCAGACTCTACCCTGGGTTAGAAAAGGGAACAGGGACTAGAGAGATGGCTCAGCAGTTAAGAGCACTGACTGCTCTTGCAGAGAACTTGGGTTTAATTCCCAGCACCCACATGGCAGCCAACAACCATCTGTAACTCCAGTTCCAAGGAATCCAATGCCCTCTTCTGATCTTCACAGGGATTCCATGACATGGGTACACTTAAATGCAGGCAATACACTCATACACATAAAATAAAAAAAATAAAGAAAATAAATAAGGGAACAAAGGAGCAGACCAGTTCTGATTCTGGCCCTTAGAAACTATATTCTTTGGGCATTCTTTCATTTTGTCAGAGCCAGAGATGTGTCACAGATACAAGAGAGGAAGGGAAAGGAAAGCCTTTTCAGGCCTCTAACACACCCTTCCTCTTAAATGCTTTTAAATATAAGCAGCAGGGGTATCAAAAACAAAACCACAAGAATTTGGTTTCCGATCAATTTTATCCAATTCTTTTTAGAATTCCCATCAGATTTTACTTACTTGTAAAACTACCTTTGCACTAAGCTTTTGTGATCCCATCAAATGTTATTTTAAAAAAAGATCACATAATCACAAGGTTTCTTTCATAGGCAAAAATATATTTTTTTACACAATCAGTGGGTCCTGGGTCCAATAGTTCTTGATTAACCTAAATTTTCATTTTCAGATAATCAATATACAAAGTCCAAAGCAAAATAGGAAGTCTAGCACTGTGGCAAACATCTGCAATCCCAGCTACTTGGAGGCTGAAACAGGGATCACAAGTTCTAGGCCAGCCTAGGCAACTTAGAAAATTTAAAGCCGGGCGTGGTGGCACATGCCTATAGTCCCAGCACTTGGGAGGCAGAGGCAGGAGGATCTCTGTGAGTTCAAGGCCAGCCTGGTCTACATAGTGAGTTCCAGGCCAGCTGGGGCTACAAGGAGACCCTGTTTCAAAAGACCAATAAATAAATGAAAAATTTTCAATGTCTGAGGATGTAGGTTGAACACTTGCTTAGCATATATAAGGCCCATTAAGTCTACCTCCAGTACTACTTAACATAAACTGCATGTATAAATAGTCCCCAGCCCTTAGTAGGCCGAGGCAAGAGCACCATGATCAAAGCCAGCCAGGGATGTACAGAGATATGCTGACTCAAGGAAACAAAAAAAGCAGGCCAAAAATCTAATGTAATCAAACCATGTAACTCAACCAAAAAGCACTTGCCTAGCACACACAAGGCCCTGGGTTCTATCCCCGGCACTGCAAAAGCAGCATCAAAAATTCCTGCTCTATTAAAATGTGCTGATTATTAACTGTAACAGTAATATTGAAGGTACTTGAGATATTCCTCTAATAATCAAACTGTTTTCCAAGGTAGTCGTTTCACAAAGTCACCAGGAAGGCATGGGTTTCAGCTGTAAAGTACCTTTGACAACTTTTAACCCATCTATAACAGGTATGTAGTATCAGCTCACTAACATTTTTTAAAAAGTTTTATTTTTATGTATTTGCCTACATGTATGTATGTATACCACTTTTGCAGTGTCTGTGGAGACCAAAATAGGGCACAAGATCCCCTGGACCTGGAGCTGCAGGCCACTGTTAGCCACTGAATGGGTAATGGCATGTAAAATAGCCATTCCTCTTAACCACCAAGCCATCTTTCCAGCTCAACCTGACTGAGATTTTAGTTTGCCTTTCTGTGATAATTAACATATAAAACTTTACATGTAGGGCTGGGCATGGGGGTGCACCCCTTTAGTCTCAGCACTTGGGAGGCAGAGGCAGACCTCTTTGAGTTTGAGGCCAGCCTGGTCTACAAAGGGAGTTCCGGGCCAGCTGGGGCTACAGAGCGACACTGTCTCAAAAAGACCAAAAACAAACAAATTTCTTTACAAGTAGGTTGGTGAGTCGGCTCAGCAGGTAAAGGTGAGCGCCACCATGCCTACTGTAACACATACACTTAGATGTGTGCACACACACTAAACATATAAATGTAAAAAAAAATAAAAACTTTTATCACGTGGTTATTTACATTTGAATTCTTAAGTGTTGTGCAAACCTTTATCTTTTTTTTTTTTGGTCCTTTTGAGACAGGGTCTCCCTGTAGCCCCAGCTGGCCTTGAACTCACTATGGAGACCAGGCTGGCCTTGAACTCACAGGGATTTGCCTGCCTCAAGGCGTACACCACCACGCCCAGCTATCATTTTTTTTAAGTCTTGTTAAGTGTTCTTCATGTATTCTGGATACAAACTCTTTGTCTGATATACAAATAAACATTATTTTCCTGCCTGCAGCATATTCGACGCTGATTTGGTTGGTTAAAGAGTCTTGCTATGTTACACAGGCTGGTATCATAGTCACAATCCTCCTGCCTCAGCTTCCTGTGCGCACAACTATACCTGGTCTAAAACTGTCTTTTCAAGGGAACAAGTTTCTAGATTTGAAGAAGTCCAAATGACCTTTTCCTTTTTAACCTTTTTATGGGTTTTTTTTTTTTTTTTTGAGTTTTCTTTTATCAGGCAGGATCTCGATTTATAGCTCTGCCTAATGTGGAAATCACAATGTAAACCAGGCTGGCCTCAAACTTAAAGAGACTGCCTGCCTCCGCCTCCTCAGTGCTGAGATTAAAGGCACGCACCACCACACACCACTTTCTCCTTTTAAGGTTTCTGTGCAACCATCTGCACTCAAACATAATAATAAAACAAAATATTTTTAATTACTGCTAACTTTTGTTAAATGTAGTAAAAGACTGTGGCAACATTTTTTAAAGTTTTTAAATTGAACAGAATTATGCCCACTAATGAAATCATATTTGCTCCACCATAACCTGAGAGGTATGTGGGCAGGTTCAGGAACATGTGACAGACTGGCAGGTGTTTGAGTCCTTGCGAAACTAAGTGACAGGTTCTTCCTGATCCACTGTACTACTCTGGTTCATCTACAAAGCACAGTCACATAGGTAAATTGTATTACATTTCAAAACCATTACCAATTATTTTCTACAAATTATTTATCATCAAATCCTCAACTAATTCACACAAATCACATTTGTTCACAACTACTTAGAAAGTAATTTGATGCTTATAGTCCTGTTGGTTTCTTCCTTTATACAAAATTACCTTAAACACAAATATTCACATTAAAAATCAAATAAAATCAGAGACAGAATTACATGTTACAGATTTAGGACTCATCGACAGTGACTGAAAAAATACTGCTGAGTCATTAAGAAAGCACGTAAATGAAAACTGCTTTAATCTCATCAGGCAGTGCTTAAATCCTATTGTTTTTCACTTTGATTTTCTGTGTAGACCACTGTCAAATTGTGAATTTAAGAGGGCCATATTGAACAGCTTCATACAAGCAGTCACCAACTTACACAGAACCCATAAATGCTAGAAAAGTTTCTAGAACTTTTCTCTAAACAGTTTACAACATAACCCCCAACCCTCTTGAATCTCCCCCCAAACTCCTACCCATTGCCAAGGTTCCACCTCACTGCCCCCTCTCACGGCCAGGGGGAAATAAGTTTCTGGAATCCAGAGTAAAAACTCAGGAACGCATTTTCCTACAGAAAAAAATATAAATAGTGATCTAGAATGCTAAGTGTTATAATTCAGCTACACTTTATACAGGCTTTTATGAACTAAAGCCTAAGAACTCAGTAATTCAAAATAGTATTTCTATGAGAAAATGCATTCCAGGTTCAAGAGAATTCAGTACAATTCCATGGTAGTTTAGTGACTGTCTGTATAATGCTACCAAGCCACACGCAGTGGACTAAATTCACACAACATTTTTACAAACTGCCTTATGACATAACTACTCATTCTGTGAATGTGTACTACCAATACTTTCTAATTAATCATCTTAGTTCATTGAAAATTTGCTGCAATACTTACATTTAGCATTTCAAAATCATTACTTTCTAAGCCCTGTGTAAGAAGAACTGGAAAGCTATTTGTCTGTAGAAAGTCGTCCTTTCTTTCTTTTTTATCTATATCCATGGCTCCCAGGCGCTCTTCAATGGTAGCCTACAGAACAGAAACATCTACTAAAGTTAACCAGACAGGGCTTAAGGGGATTTGCAAACAAACTCAAAACAGTCACACCTAAACCACTAAACCCATTCTCATTCCCAAAGAATCTTATCCTAGTCATACTGAGAGAGACAAGTGATAACAGCTATAAACTAAGTTCCCAGATCTGATGAAAAAACCAAATGCTTAAGAGGCACAGGGCTGGAACATATAAATCATAAAGCCCCTCTATGAGAAGATTTAATACTCTGCAAAGACCTGGAATCTTATCACTATAGCATAAAGGTTAAACTTTCCCAAGTGTAACTATCCCTTGGCATCAATAAAAGATCTGTGATAGAAACAAAAAATTTGTCACCTATCAAAAGGGCCAGGCATGGTAACACATTTCTTTAACCCCAGCACGCAAGAGGCAGAGGCAGGGGGATCTCTGTGAGATGGAGGCCAGTATGGTCTGTATCAGTGCCAAACCAGCTGGTGCTGTAGGGAGACCCATCTCAAAAAAAAAAGAAAAAAAATCTATCAAGATGTAAACTTGAGCCAGCAAGATAGCTCAGCAGGTGAAGGGACCTGCTACAAAGTCTGACCACCTAAATTCAACCCCAGAACTCACACGGTAGAAGGAGAGTACTAACTTACATCAGGTTGTCCTCTGACTGCAACATGCATTTGGGGTTGGGGAGTGTAATGCACATGGGTGCACACACACACACACACACACACACACACACACACACACACACAAATGAAGGAATAAATAAAATTACTATGACTATCACCTTTGAGAGAACAACTAGCACATAACCAGCCAGGATTGCTCAGACAGCCAAGAGAAAGAGGCATCACTAGAACTCAGCAACATGCGAAACCCAATGGAAGTCATCACAGCAAAACCTGGCTTAACCTATTCAATTTCAATTTTTTTATGTGCCCACAAGTTTCTGAAAATTTGGCTTTGGCTCTACCCAATACACTCTCCCAGACTTTCCTAAATCTCAAACCCTAGTATGTGGTCAAAGTGGTTACATTACCTCATTACCCCCTAATTTCCTCTTGTTCTCCACCTCCTTGGGCTGTGGGGGTGGAGGCTTGATGGGTGCGTGATGTCCAGGAATCCCAGGCACCAGAACTTTTGCTTCAGAATTTATCACTGGTGTTCTCACCTGCCACACACAGGATCAGAAATTCAGAAAAGAAATGATGTCTTAGTTCTCAGCTTCTCCCATGAGGAAACAAGTAATTTTCAAAAGGCTACTCTATTAGAACATACAATATAATTTACTTACCATGACAGGAATTCATGAATGCTGGTAAATAGTTTTAAAATAATGACCTGGAAGGTCTTTCAGTTTGCAGTACCTCATTAACAGTAAAAACCAAGAAAGCAAAATCTACAGATTACACACAAGGCTCCGTTACTCATTTAATGACCCTCCAGAACTCAATCTTTGCCAAGCACACTCAGACAGCCAAGAAAAAGGTGTCATCTCTGAAACTCAGCCAGATGCGAAACCATGTGGATGTCATCATAGCATGACTTGGCTTTCCCTTCCCATTTCATCAGCAAACACTGTACCCACATGTAAACAGCCAAGTGATATCTCAAACAGCACAAATGATATACAGAATGAGAATAAACCCCAGTTCCAATGTGATTTGATTTTACATAGAAATACTACTCTACAACAAAAATGTGCTCTTTTAAGTTCTAAGACTGAAAAACAGTATGAAAGTTTGACATTAGGATTTATTCGTACATGGTTCCGTGTACAGATGGGCATAAGTGTAGTCTAAGCCCCAGGTCTTTAACTGCCAGCCACAATTCCACTGACTCAGTCAACAAACCAAGAGTACAGAGTTGAAGTTTTAAAACTCTTATATTCAAAAGCATAATCTTAAAATTTCTAAGACAAGATTATAAAGAGGAATTAAAGAATAAAAAGAAGCCCCATGTATGATAGTACACATCTGTAATTCTGGCACTGAGGCAGAATAATCACTGAATTTCAGGCTAGCCTGAGATATATATGTATATAGCAAGATTATCTCAAAAGGAGGGGGGAAATGAAGTCAGGGCTGGAGAGATGTCTCAGCAGTTAAAAGCTCTGACTCCTTTTGCAGAGGACCCAAGTTTGATTCCTAGGAACCACATGGTGGCTAACAACTGTCTGTAACTCAAGTTTCAGGGGATCCAACGCCCTCTTCCTACCTCTGAGAGCACTTCATGACACGGGTGCACCTACCTACATGCAGGCAATACACTCAAACACATAAAATATTAAATTATTTTTTAAAATAAATAAATGAAGTTAATCTAAACATAATACTATAAGCCAATTCAATTTAACCAAATTTACTCTTCTAAACATCAAACCTGTAATGTACTCACCTTTGTTACAGCAGTTTCTACTTTAGGAGTCCAGCAATTTGAAATATCTCTTTCTAAACAAATATGAGTCTCTTTGGAGTTTAAAGCCTGAAAATAGGTTTTCGAAGGGAGATGGAAGAGGAGGGGAAAGGAGAGAAAATAAACAGTATCAAACAAAGCAACTGCAAGCAACAACAGAGTGAAAAACAAACTGCATTTTTATAGAAATATTAAAAAGTGTGAAGCATTCCATGCTGTGAGCCACAAGCTCCATTCAGGTTGATGGCAGCTGAGGAAATGGGTAAGCTGAAGACATTGGGGCAATGTATACCTCCCGCATGCATTAACTGCTTGAATTTTTAACAGTTTTAAAATATTTTATTATTTTTATTTTATGTGTATGGGTGTATTGCCTGCTTGTATGTAAGTGTCCCCATGCCATGCAATGCCCAAGGTGGTTAAAAGATGGCACTGGATCCCCTGGAACTAGCAATACAAAGGGCTCTTAGCAGCCATGTGGATGCTGTAACTTGAACCCCAGTATACTGCAAGAGCAGCCAGGGCTCTTTAACCAGTGAGCTATCTCTCTAGTCCTTAACACAATTTTAAAAGGCCAACAGACTTCTCATTCATAGAATTTAGGAAAACATCAGGTCAACAGTGTTAATAAAAACTCACACACAAAATTACTACATCCTACCTCCAAATTTCCTAAAGTTATTATTTCTATAAGCAAGTCAAAAACAGCACTGCTGATTAACAATCTGCTGAAAAGAGCTCTGTATGTCCTGACAATACTAAATGAGGGAAGAGGGCCATACACAGCCAAGTTACATATGTTCCAAGAAAGTTTTCTCATTGTATGTAATTCTATATGCCTCTATAATTAATATCTGTAAAACCAAAGCAAGCAGGTACCAATGGTTATATTCGGAAAGCAGCTTCACATACAGCAGGCGAGCATGTTTCTAGCTTAAAACTTCTCCTTGTTTTAGTAAACTAATTTTTCCAGTCTTTCTTGGAGCTGACATGGTACAGACACCTGAAATCCCAGCACTCAGGAGGCAGAGGCAGTAGGATCCCTACAAGTTCATGGGCAGCTTGTTCTATGTAGCAAGTTCCAGGCCAGCCAGGGATACATAGCAAGAGCCTGTCTCAACCAATCAAGCAAGCAATTCATCAGTGTTTTCTTTGGGCCAACTATGTGGCTCAGTGGTATACTGCTTATCTAGAATAAGCAGTTCTAGATTCACCCCTGACATCACAGGGAAGAAAACATTCTCTAATAATAACAGAGCATAAATGGCTCTCTGGGGGCCTTACTAAGTAGAGGTACGGTGAGATGCAGGCTTAAGAAATCATCTACCAGATATGACTAAGCATTTCAGAGAAACTTCTGTAGTTAAAAAATGCTGCCACTGCATTAACCATTACATGTCCACTTAGAAAATTCAATGGATGCCACCACTAAGGGTTTTAAGAGTCATATTTCATGTAGTTAGGCAAACTTCCACTCAAGTGATACTACAACAGTACTCAGTAGGACCATGTGGTTCTCAGGTACTTGCAATGTGGCTAGTTCAAAGTGAGCCATGTACATATATCACATTTCTAATATCAAAATTGGAAGAGGTAATATTAAATGTATCTGTTGGGAGGGGGAAAAGAAAGTTTTCACAAATTAAACAACCTAGTAAAGATTTTTAAATAAAGGAGAATATTAGGTATTTTCTAAAGTATTCCAATAAAGAACCAAAATGTGCCCTTTAAAATCATTCTTTCCCACACACAAATTACTGCTGAATTGTTTTCTCCAGAGAAGGATCTACGTACCACTCGTTCAATGGTAGGCTGAAACCAACTGCCATATACAAGCAATAATGACATTTTGTCTGAGCAAAAACCAGCTGCTAGAATAGGAATGGGTTTTGGTGGTGATTTCTTGCCTTTCCCTGGGGTTGCAATCTGAATTGTGCAGTTTGAAGTCAAAGGTTTTTTGCAGTGTCTAAAAGTGAAGGAAAAAGCAAGAGAAAAATTAGAGAATTTGAGACGGCCATCAAATCACAAAATGTGACTCTCAACCTCTGCAATGCCATCATGAGATGGACAGAAAGATACAAGTGTCTTTCAAAACTACAAACGCCCTACAAACACCAGAGGTGAAATTCACATGTACCTCCTGCCCCATACTGTGTGACCAAAGGGAGGCCCCACAATCCCAAATGATCTCAGCATCCTGAGCTTGAGACTCATTCCAACATCCTCTTCCATCCAGTCCCATTTCTCCCAACTCTTATAAAGTCTCACCACAACCTCCGGTATATAGCTTCAGAATCCATCATACCCCATGCCTTCTCTGCAGACTCGGCCCTCCTCTGGCTTATCCTTGCAGGCCTCCTGAGGGGTAGCTGTTTTCTCATCCATATCATTTGTGCCCAGGATTTTGGACATTATTTAAGTGTGCTTTTGTTCTCCACTGACACCCCAAAACATCAATCTGTCCTTGACCCCACAAGCCTTTCAATGCCAGCAATACTGGCCACTGCCCCCACATTTCCAATACCCTGGCCCGCTGCCATTTCTTCTCAACTATCTTCCAGGGAATAGCTTTTCTATGAGGTTCCCATATCTAGTATCCAAGTTGAGGATCCTTCTGAAATGCTGGTCTCTTGGCTCCTGCCTCCAAGGACCATGCCCTTCAATGCATCCCAGCCCACACATTCTTCTCACCCTACATTATCTTGTCACTTATTCCCAGAAGCTCATACCATCTATCATCTCAGTTTTAAAGATTATACTATCAATAGCTTTTCTATGAGGTTCCCATATCTAGTATCCAAGTTGAGGATCCTTCTGAAATGCTGGTCTCTTGGCTCCTGCCTCCAAGGACCATGCCCTTCAATGCATCCCAGCCCACACATTCTTCTCACCCTACATTATCTTGTCACTTATTCCCAGAAGCTCATACCATCTATCATCTCAGTTTTAAAGATTATACTATCAGTGGCTGGAGAGATGGTTCAGCAGTTAAGAACACTGGTTGTTCTTGCAGAACACCCAGGTTTGAATCCTAGCACCCACATGGCAGCTAACAACTGTCCGTAACTCCAGTCCTAAGGGATCCGAAAGCCTCTTCTGACCTCCACGGGCATTGCATGACACGGGTGCACTTACCCACAAGCAGGCAATACACACATACACATAAA